TGTTAAAATTACGAGGTCACGTAGCAGCTGGACCCGCCGGTGGGTCCGTAGGGTTCTAGGGGTCAAAAGTAAAGGGGAAAAAAAAACAGAAGAATTTATACCCTTACCACTGCAGCTAAAGTCTACAAAGGTGTAGTATAGTATTCTCTGTCTTCTAATATTTGCAGCATGTTTATTCTAAAGGGAAATTATTTTAGTGCTTTTGAAGTTGAGTCCCATTGTGAATATGGGATCGAATCTGTAGAGAGAGCTAAAGATTAGGGTGATGGAAAAAGGGAGGCTTTTCATTCTCAAAGACTTTGAGCAAGTCACCCAAAATTAGTTTTTACCGGAACAGTGAAAAGATGCCAAAAGCTGCTCGGCAAAAATACGCTTACCATTATTTATAAAAAATAAAATGCATGGAATAAAACTTTCATTTCCTAATTTCTATTGCCTTACATGTGTTTTTATTATTTTTCTACATATGCTCACTTGATTTATGATCAGAAACACAATATAATTTCTAATATGTCAGGGTATGATAGGTTTTTAATTAATAAGCTGATGTTAATTCACTAGGATGGGGTATTTAATTCTCTTAAATCTTAAACTAGTGAAACTCTTTAAGATTAATTTTTTTTTTGCCTTAATGTCATTGTTGTTTTTTGTTGTTTTTCTTTATATATGACAGCAAACTGTCTGCTACAGAGTGTAGAATACCAACTATTTGTTAGTGTATGTTAATCTTTGAGATGGTTCGTATCAGCTTTGAAAAGTGATTGTTTAAAAAAGTGTTCTATAATCTACTTATTTTCTATTGTGAATGGGACATATCATCTCCTCCAGCAGCTCACTCAGGGGTCCTATTGCTTTTCAGTGTGAGCTGATCAGAACAGTGATCAGAACCAACACAAAACGGTGACATGAATTTAAAAACCCATCTGCAACTGAAGTGTTTATTAGTGAAATTTACATGCATTTTTATGGCTATGTTCAGCCACAATTATTTGAGACAAGTACATTAAGCGCATGGAATAGAGAAAAAAAGCAACCTGTTGTTAGACCCAGAATGGAAACAGGAGAAAATGGCAATGCAGCGGTATGAAATTATGACAGAAATTGGCAAGACAGGGTGAGAGATTTTTGTTTACTCCGCCATTTTATAAAGAAGAAAATTTAGATCATTAGGAAAGAGAGGGTAAGAAATGTAATATCAAAAACTTTGCAAGAATAAACATATTTTAAATAGTATTACACCAATACCGATACCAGTATCGGGCGGGCCCTGATCAATCACTAAAATGGTGGCATCTGTATCGGTGAGTACTAACTAATAGAGCACCGATACCATTTTGTTCTAAACACAATACGAGTTCTACTGGATTCACTTTCTATTAGTCTTTTTCCTGCTTC